GAGCCAATGCAGGGCTGTAAGAGAGGAAGGGCCAGACTCTGCACAAGTAAAAGTCTCAACAAATGGCCCGTGTCCTTTCAATTTCTGGATATACCGTTCAGTCCCTATATAATCACAGATGGCCCAACATACCACACACACACAAAAAAAAAAAAATTGCTGTAGGAACTCAAGTCCTTGGTGCCAAGGTGTCATGTTTGCAGCACAACTTTTCATAACAGCTTTTGAAATAAAAAGACAACATTCAGAAAACCTCAGAGCCAACAAATTTACCCAAATATTCAAGCCAACAGTAACAACAAAAAGTGTATTAGTTATTTCAAACAAGATTCCAGTTATGTTTTTCAAATGGAAATTTACCTCCCATTTCATACTAATAGGTTAGGAAATACCTTAGTTTGTGTCTGGTATTTTAAAAATATATATAATAAACACTAGAAAATGCCAGCATGGATCATAAGAAAAAATATCACCGTTTTGTTAAATTTTTCTATGTGTTTTGGTGTGTATGTAAACTCAGTTATAGAGGACATTTATTTCTTTTTTTTTTAAAGATTTATTTATTTATTATGTATACAGAAGAGGGCACCAGATCTCATTACAGATGGTTGTGAGCCACCATGTGGTTGCTGGGAATTGAACTCAGGACCTCTGGAAGAGCAGTCAGTGCTCTTAACCTCTGAGCCATCTCTCCAGCCCGAGGACATTTATTTCTTATTGTGGACTGTAGTGTGAAGCCATTGGTATTCACAGGCTATACACACTGTCAGAAAAATGAGCACTTACATTCTGCAGAACTCTGGATGAAGTTCAGTTCCTCTATGGAAGAAATCAAAAACGAGTCTAATGAGCTTGAATCATTAAATAATGTAAAATGATGTTTTCAACTATTAATGTTACTTTTGGGTTGCAACTAAATTTACCATAAATCCACAAATGAAAACATCTATCTCTTCCTCTAATGCTGTGGGATGGTCTGTATGTCAAATGTGTTGCTGATTGGTCAATGAATAAATCACTGATTGGCAGTGGCCAGGCAGGAAGTATAGGCGGGACTAACAGAGAGGAAAATTGAGAGAACAGGAAGCTGGCGGGTGAGAGAGAGTTGCCCTGACTGTGGGCCAGGCAGAAAAAGTCTAGCAACAAATGGCGTCCAACGTGGTGGCAAGAGTTTCCACCTAAAACCTGAAAAAAAAAGATTCTAAAACGGAGCTAAAAACAGCTTCCTAATTGTCTCTCTCAAATGAGCGGCAGCTGCCGGTTTGAGCTACTGGCGGGTTGCTGGCGTGCGCGCTCGACCTGCAGTATGGTGGGAATGAGGCCTCTGCAAGTGGCACATTAAGCTACATTGTGGATTTAGCCTTTGCTAGTACAAAACAAACAAAAGAGGTTTTTGGGCTACACGCTGCTTGGATAAAAGCATAGACCCACGATAGCTCCCAGAGCTGGTGGTAAAGTACCACGCCATGTTGGGAAAGTGAGGTGGGCGGAGCCAGCAGCCATAGCTGCTGCAGCTTAAAGCAATAGATTCACAATAAGACAGATTCAGATGTAATAGTTTAAAATGTGTGTAAAATATACGTAGGCTTAAAAGAGACAAAAAAAGGTGATATATACAGTATAGAAACAAATACATGGTTTTAAAAAATAAAGTCTTTAAAGAGACAGTAAAATTAATATAAAAAATAAGCCACGTAGAGATGACTATTACACAGAGAGTCTGGATTGTGTTGTCTTTGGGATTCTTAACTACAGAGAGATATTTGATTGTAAAGGAAGCTGAGTTAAACCAGTATGTATATTTTAAAGATACTTTGACTTCAAAATTTGGATGTAAGGATATGTTGCTTTGGAAAAGAGTCTCTTTTGTTTCCACAGAAAGCAAGAGGCTATGGATTTGTTCCAGATTAAGACACATCAGGTTTGACCAGCCAAGACCACCTGAAAGGTCTCCGATGACACCATGGCCCAGATGATCCAACATCCAGAACCGTTTCAAGGCAACTGGCTCAGATGATACAGCCTCACGGACTACTCCATGATCCTAAAATTTTCTTTGTTTCCCCAGAAGATACAGCGCCCCCCTCCAGCAGGAAGTAGTAAGAGAAGCTACGCCCAAATTCCCAAATATACCAAGCTGACGTTGGAGATGTGTAAAGATTAAAACCTTCCTTTTTAAGAAAAGAAAAGGGGAGGTGCTGTGGGATGGTCTGTATGTCAAATGTGTTGCTGATTGGTCAATGAATAAATCACTGATTGGCAGTGGCCAGGCAGGAAGTATAGGCGGGACTAACAGAGAGGAAAATTGAGAGAACAGGAAGCTGGGAAGAGAGAGACTGCCAGCCGCCACAATGAGAAACAGCATGTGAAGGTGCCGGTAAGCCACGAGCCATGTGGCAAGGCATAGATTTATAGAAATGGATTAATTTAAGCTGTAAGAACAGTTAGCAAGAAGCCTGCCACGGCCATACAGTTTGTAACCAATACAAGTCTCTGTGTTTACTTGGTTGGGTCTGAGTGGCTGTGGGACTGGCAGGTGAGAGAGATTTGTCCTGACTGTGGGCCAGGCAGGAAAACTCAAGCTACACTCTAATATCCACTGGGATAATCACTATGCTCCAACACTGAACCAGAAGCAGCCTGTCAATACTCTTGAGGATTCATCATGATGAAATTGAAGAAATAAACATAAACTAAACATTGTTTTTGTGTGAACTTATAAACCAAGTATAAAATAAATTTTTGCAGAACTTTAATTTCTAAGAAATTTTAAGTCACACTAAGAGTACCTCATAGAAATAAGACTAACAGAAAATTTGACAACAATCTGTAACAAAAATTTACCAGTGTGTCTAGACATTTAAAAAGTATCATACCGCCGGGCGGTGGTGGCGCACGCCTTTAATCCCAGCACTCGGGAGGCAGAGCCAGGCGGATCTCTGTAAGTTCGAGGCCAGCCTGGGCTACCAAGTGAGTTTCAGGAGAGGCACAAAGCTACACAGAGAAACCCTGTCTCGAAAAACAAAAAAACAAAACAAAACAAAAAAAAGTATCATACCAGTTTGCTGAAGCTTAAAATCAGTGCTGTATTTATGTTCACATATTTAAAGATCCTTTAACAATTCTGCTTATATGCATTAAATACTGTGTCAACCACAAGCAAACACATAGACTGAAACAAACATGAATCTGTGCTGCTGCCTACAAGAATCACCTACTGCACCTGGCCAAGGCAGAGGTGGCAGCAGCTGCTGCTGCCACCATGAGTAGAGGCACATAGCCCCAGAGGCTATGAGAAGTAGACCCAACAGGCTTCATTCTGATTTACCAGCCAGCCCCACAGAGGTCTGACTGAAGGAGCTAACAGTGGGTGTATAGACAACTTCACCCAGGGTCTCATATGTATGTCAAACTTTATTTTACACAGGATATACAGATGATAGATAGATAGATAGATAGATAGATAGATAGATAGATAGATAGATAGAGATAGATTGATAGATAGATAGATGGACAGGCAGACAGGTAGGTTGATTAAAGGTCTAAAATATGCTAGAAAATCAGTAAAAAGCAATGTTACAATCTATAAAATTTTTAACTATAATAATTGATTTAAATATCACAGAACCAATTAACTGTAAGAATCTATTATATTCCCTCAACAAGATCTACACAATGCCTATTGCCCTTTTTGTTTAAATTGTATTATTTTTATGTGTAGGAGTGTTTTTCCTACACCACATGCCTGCAGTGCCCATGGAAGCCTGAAAAGGGTGTTGGATCCCCTGGGACTAGAGTCACTGATAACTGTGAGCCACCATGTGGATGATGGGAACCACATCTGAGTCCTGAAAGAACAGCCAGTGCTCTTCATGGCTGAGCCACTTCTCCAGCCACTCTACCCTCAACCCTTGTGCTATTTTGTTTTCTTCTGTTTGCTTTTTGTTTTTGAGACACATCTCATTATGTAACCCTGGTTTCCCTGGAACTCACTATGTAAACTAGGCTGGCTTCAAATTCATAGGGCTCCTCCTGCCTCTGCCTCTTGAGTATTAGGATGAAGGCCTGCACCATCATGCCCAGCTTCCTTTTAAAGAGGAAGGTCGCCGGGCGGTGGTGGCGCAAGCCTTTAATCCCAGCACTCGGGAGGCAGAGGCGGGCGGATCTCTGTGAGTTCGAGGCTAGCCTGGGCTACCAAGTGAGTTCCAGGAAAGGCGCAAAGCTACACAGAGAAACCCTGTCTCGAAAAAAGAAAAAAATAATGAGGAAGGTCAAGGTGAGAGAATAAAAGGACTACATAACAGAGTCACTGGTGCAGCCCCATCCGGTCAAAACTAAGAAGCACCATGACTAGTGTGAATGGGAGAACTTGTTTGCAGAGCTTTCTACATTCTCTGTAAAACATAACTTGCAATGCAAGACTCCTAAGTGTACCTGTCTTTATGAACTTAGAACGTGAAGCCTCTGCATGCTGCTGTCCATTTGTGAAGTTCTATACCAGCCAGCCTCCAGCACATGCCCAATGCAGTGACTGCACCAGATGAATCTCATGTGAGTGACCACTGACCCTGAAAGGGCGGTGACCATGCAGCAGATCACCACAGAGGGTCTGAGAGTCAAGGGGAGACAACGTGAAGCCTTGAAGCCCACTTTCCATCTCATCAGCAAACGTCTCCAGTCAGTGATTTAAAATTCATCATATATTTGACTAAGCTTGGTCACCCAAGCCTGGCTTCCATCTTCAGATTAAGAACTTCCAAATGAACAAGAAGTTGAGACTGGCCAGTAAGATGGCTCATCAGGTAAAGGTTCCTGAATTCAATCACAGGTATACACAGGGTGAAAGGAAAGAACTGACTCCTGAAAGTTGTCCTCAGATCTTCACTCATGAATGGACACAGACATACTGACACACATACATACACACAGTAATATTAAGAAAATTCAAGTTGAGACATACTGAAAAGTTTAATATTTTATGAAATTTTCAGACACCTTACCTTACAGATTAGCCAGGAGCTCTGTGTTTGGATGTATCAGCAAATGGTGTGCCCCGAAAGGGACTGCAGTGGAAACTGCTCTCGGGTCTCTCTTTCACTTGGTCTGCCCAAAGGACGAATTTCAAGTAAAAAGCAGAGCCTGGCATTAACTGACATAGGCATAATGACCATGAGAATTTGAAAGCAGCTGACTTGCATTGTGTTAGTGCAGGACCTCACACTCAGGAATCTACCAGTACTCACTGAAGTTGTACTCTGAGTCACTCAGAGCCACAGTACCAAGGCTCCTTTACTTTAAAACTAACCTGAGGAATCAGGGAATGCCATGATATAAGTAAAGAAGTGTACTCAATGGCTTGTAAAAGTACAGCTAAAATTTTCATGTTTTTCTAAGTAAAAAAAAAAAAGTCAGATACAGCCTGTTTTTCATAAATTTCTCCAAAAGAAACTAAATTCAATAATTTGAGAAAAAAATGTTTTACTTTTCTGAACACAAACCATGTTATGTCATCCACACAGTGCACCACTATATTTCTGTGAATTGTGTGCTACCTAGGGACAGCAACAGCATGCACTCATGGTTTTTAATCAGTAGACTCAGGAGTTGAGAAGCCATCCCAACAATTACTTACAACTAAACAACTGAATAATTATGAGCTCATATGACTTTGCACCTGCCCTTCCAGGATCTTTAAGTTCTGGGTATCACACTGGTAACTTTCCTGAGGTGGTGTATATGAAGGTCACCAAAGCCTGAGAGACATGAAGAAGAAGCAGTTGCCGTCTAGGGGTTTCACAGGCACAACAAGCACAGGAAGTGAAGCAGTTTTGAAAAAAGGTTTTAAAAAGTGAATGTACATATGGCCTATAAGGCAAGGTCTAAGTTACAAGTGTGTACAACTGGCACTGTGCTGTGAGAAGTATTATCAGGTGTATACACACAAATGTCCAAATCTATGATCACATATGCTTCCTATTGCAGCTTACCACAAAAAGATAGTCCTGGGGCTGCCCACCAAGGCTCAGGTTTGAAAAGAATCTAGTATTTTTCCATTGGCTCAAAGTCTAATGAAGATTCTGTAACATGAATCAGAAACTCTGCTTTTGGTTTTTTAAGGAAATAAAAAATGTAGTTTGCTACTAGTACAGAAGTTTCCAGGACTTTCTGAAGATGTTTTGGGGTATCAAGCAACTTTCAGGCAGGCTTCTGCCTGCAGACCCAAATGTCTCATGACATAAAGCAAAGCATAAGAAAGTCCAAGTCTGCCTCCTTGCACATCTTCACCTCTCATCCAGATGGTTCCCTGCTGTAGACACACAACTTTTCCTCCGTCTCTAAGACTCAGGGTTTAACCAAAAGCTCTGAGGTTGATCAGAAAATTCAAATGAGAAACTGATGGGCAATGCCAAGTTCTCCATGCTGATGAGAATGTGGCACTGACAGGTGGGCCCAGACCCCAACAGAAGCTGATCAGTGTCTGTGGGAATGTTAGGAGTTGTCAGGACTTGCTGCAGAATGCTACTGAAGCAGCCAGGTCTCACAGTGCTTTCTGATGCCCGTTTGCAGAAGGCTTTGCAGTTTCTGAATCCCTTGAGGTATCTGACAAGTGAAGTTTGTGAAGTTTGTGAAGTCCTGCAGAAAAAATAGGATACCGGTGAGAAAGGACTGGTCACTACCAGACAAAACCTGCTTAACAGCAGGACAGCTTTCCTGTATAGGTTGTGATATGTTATCTAAAGCCTTCTGGGAATGAAAGCTTTCTCCTCCCTGGAGGCAGCTCTGTGGAGGTCATGCCTCTTTTTCCAGGACTGCTACCTCCAATGACTGGGTGACAGGTGGATAAGGCTCTTCTCAACACAGTGGGGTCCTACTTTTTTTAATTTTGAGTATGTGTATGCATGTGTGTTCATTTGTGTGTGACTACAGGTAGAAGCCAGAGAATAATCTTGGGTGTCATCTCAAGTGCCACCCACCTTGTTTTATGAAACAGGGTCTCCCACTAAACCTGGAACTCACCAAGTAGTGAAGGCTGGCTAGCTACCAGGCCCAGGGAGCCGCCTGTCTCGAATGTTGGGATTATGTCTAGCTTTTTTACATGGGTTCCAGGGATCAAACTGAGACCCTCATGCTTGTGTAACAAGTAGGTCACTGACTGAGCCATCCCCCAGCCTCTCAGTGTGGCTCTGATGAGGACTCAAAAGTATAATACCCCATAGGACCACAAGGCTTCAAAATACACTTCATCTCTACACTGCCTCTTCTTGCTCCCCTCAAAAGCCTCTTCCCAGCAAACAAGCTTGTTCAGATCCCAAAGTGCACTGCCTAGAAAGCTAATTTGATACAGATGCATGACTTTTTTTGTTTTAAAACACATAAAGTGTGGGAAGAATATCCCCAAATACTAAGCATGTAATTGGTTTAAAGCAGTGTAAAAACAGCTATCAATAGTGAGAACAAAAAATTACAAAGGAATAAAGTAAATACACAAACAATCCACAGTTCCAAGGTACTTTATAGGATAAACAACATCATGATCTTTTCCAGGGCATTAATTTCCATTTTCTCACATAGCAGTTTCTCACAGAATACAGCTGACATGTGGATCATAGTGCACCCTCACAGAAAGAAAAGTCAGACTTTAGACCATACTAAAGCTTCAAGCACATCAGCAAAAGTGAAACCCATGACATGCAAGAGTCCACAAGCAGTGCATCCACAGGAAAGACTGTGGAATAACACCTACACTGCTCAGATTTTTAAATGCCTCAAAAGCTAAGTTGAGGGGTGGGGTGGGTATTCATTCTAAATTTCCAGACAGTAATTTTCTTGTATAACTCCTAAGCCAATACACTCCTCCCTCAAATTTAAAGTCTTTATTACTTACATAAGTGAATGAAAGAAAATTTGAACTTGAGTCTATCACTGAATTAGAAGGAAAAAGAAATTATAAATATACTTTGTATTATAAATTTATCATTATAAATAGTAATATAAATTATACTATAAATTATAAAATTAAATTATAAATATAAATATTATATACTTATCATTATAAATAGTTTAATCCCAGAAATGGCCAAACCACTGAGTGATCAGAGAACCTCCGAAAACTAAGACAAGACATGCACTGAAGAAAACCTGTCAGAAAAAGGGTAAGAGGAGGGGTGGGGCACCGAGGGGCATACTTGCCACACTAACCTGGAACCATACTGTCTCTGTGTGGGGAATGTGTGCAATGCTGAAGATCAAACCCAGGACCTTCTACATGGTAGGCAAGCATTCTACCACTGAGCCACACTCCTGGCCCTGGAGTCACATTCCTGGCCCTGGAACTCCTCCTTAAGACAGAAGACTTAAGTAGGTTCACTTCTTTTTTTAAATTTTTTAAATTTTTGGTTTTTTGAGACAGGGTTTCTCTGTGTAACAGCCTTGGCTGTCCTGGAACTCGCTCTGTAGACCAGGCTGAACTCAGACTCACAGAGATTCTTCTGCCTCTGCCTCCCAAGTGCTGGAATAAAAGGCATGGGCCACGACTGCCCAGCTAGCTTCACTTCTTAAATTCAGGTGTGACACAGGACATACATTCTGATAAAACTGCAATATTGTTATCTTTGACTTCTCCAGAAACAGTCTGTTGGTCACCACCACCACCATGGCTACTGTGCAGCAGATGTTCTCTGAAAATACCTGTTAGGAATGGGTTAATGAAGTCAGACTTAACATTTTGGGCCATTAAAACCTATATTTACAGAAGAGCTTTTCTATATGAAGAAGTGCTCCCAGAGACTATACTCAAGGATAACAGAAAATATTTGGAAAAGGAAATAAACCTATCTCTTGGGAGTTTTACACAGATCTTGAAAAGGCCACTGTGTCTTATGGTCAGACTCCTGACATGACACAGAGGGCCTCTGGCCTCTGGCAGATTGACCTCTTATCTTAGCAGAAGCTCCATGGCGAGACACCAACACTGATGCACTACAGCCATCTCAGCTGTAGCCAAATGGGAACTGATCTGAGGTCCCAGCTAAAAATGAAGTTTCAACTAGACATGTGACTGAGGGTTTCTTGATTCCTAAGCATCTGGCTGTTTTTAATGTGACCAGTACTGTGAAACTCAGGCACGAAAATTCATAAATTATCTGGTGTTTCAGCTGAGATGAGATGTAGCTTTTTCATTTCAGGGAAATATTTCAATCAGCTGTCCCCTCACAGTGCATGTTACAAATAAAATACATATGGAGCAGTAACCCGGTGTTTTTTTCTTTAAAGGTCTTCCATTCAAACATCAAGGGCATAAAGGTTGGTGCTATGAAAAGCTTCATTGCTGCTCCTATAGTTTAAGCTTTCTGAAATTGGGCCTTAATGAATCTACAAATATGCTGCCTCTTAAAATATCAAAACTACAGCATATATGGAGCATAAGTTTCAAGTTTCAGGCAAATGAGTTAATGCCAGGATTTCCTACAGGAAACCACCGCCTTTCTTTTCTGCTATGGAGATAGATGTTACAAGCCTGAGAAGCTTCCAGAGTGCTTCTCATCCTAAAGCACAAGCCCTGGACTTATGTTCATCATGAATGTAGAAGTAAACACAGCAAACATAAATCACTTAGAGCAGACTTTGATGTCACCACAATACACATGACAGAGTCCGTGACAACAACCTCCTATCCTGTCAGTACCAAGAATGCTAACATTGTTTGCCAGAGTTATTCAGCTTATAGAAGAGAATTATAGGTTGCTTGTACACTTAGAAAATCCAAGCCCCCCCTCAAAAAAAAACTACAAGTAAACAATAGTAAAAACATCATTACCAGAAAGCAAACCTTCAACACCAACTTTTCTCATCATTATCATGATAAAAACAAATGGGCGGACTGCCATTCCCAAGTGCTTAGGGTGTCCTAGTCACTCACTGTACTAAGGCCCCACAAGAACCACAATTCCTACCCACACACCCTACAGATGAGGCCTACAGTAAAATGACATGATTCCAATCCAATCACAACCAACACATTAGTCAAGAATGCAAACTGACAGCCATGCGTATTTAGAAACTAGAGACTCAAATGTCAAAGTCATGATTAGTAGAAAGAAATGTCCATAAACCTCAAGATTACCTAGGGCCTTGAAAAGTTCTTCTCGTACAGCTGATGTGAATTTTCTGACCAAACACAATGTTGTCACAATGGCAAAGAGTAAATTGTAGGATAATACGATATAGAAATTTCCCAGCCAATTAAATCTTCCAAAGTCTCCAAGTAGATCGAATCTAGTGATTCCTGTTAAAAAATAAATAAAAGAGTGCTTAATAAAGTGAGGTGCATTCATACCTGTAAGAAAATACAATTGGCCGGGCGGTGGTGGCGCACGCCTTTAATCCCAGCACTCGGGAAGCAGAGCCAGGCGGATCTCTGTGAGTTCGAGGCCAGCCTGGGCTACCAAGTGAGTTCAGGAGAGGCGCAAAGCTACACAGAGAAACCCTGTCTCGAAAAACCAAAAAAAAAAAAAAAAAAAAGAAAAAAAAAAGAAAATACAATTGAAATCAGGTCAGATTCCACAGACTTTCTCAGATGCTATGGGCAGGCTCTGCTATGAAGCATATGACTATTTCCTAGCAGGACAACCCAAGCCAGCCAACCTTCATGCCTGTGCGAGTCACAGCATTTGACACCCAGGAGAGTGGCATGAGTGCCTACCACCTATCTAGGGTTCATGCCTGCAGTAAAGACGAAGCTCCGGTGCCATCCAGTAGAGCCTGTTTTCCCCACTAGTTACATAGGAATGTTGTCTATTACAGTCCTGCAACCCCAATTCCAGGGGCAACGCCTTACACATTCTTAATGCTCACCACATAAGTGAGTAACAGGATTTCCATACACTACACCATTGGCAGAATTTAATGTTACCTATTTATAAAGTAAGAGAGGAAAGCTGAGAATGTGTGAGGACTGCATCACACATGGGTTTAAGTTACTTAAATTCAGCCACATACACATTAAGTCTTTTTAACTGAAAGAATAGTTAAATGAGTATGTGTTCCAGGTCCAAAACTTATCAGAAAGAGGGCATGAGTGGTAGGATTTTCTGACCAGGGATAGGTAAATAAATCCTACTCATCAGGTGGGTAAGTAGAGTGAGAAAGAAGGCCATGGCAGTCTTAAGGAAGACACTAAGGAACTACATGGAGCTATATGGACCTATAAAAAGAGTTACAAGAAGCAATAGATACTTCCTATAGGACTATACAAACACAGTTATGTACTGCATACACTACAGGCCATTTAAGGATTTTATGGGTGATTTCAAAAATACCTTTGACTCAATCTCACATCATCAGCTGACTTTTGAATTTGGCTTTCAACCCTGATCTAACACACTTCCATCACACACTACTGCAAGCCTCACAGAGAAGCTTATGGACAGCAGAAAATCTCCCTATGCAAACAGTGCAGTCAGAACAGGGCATTTCAAAAATAGCTTCGTAGTCACTCTCACCTGGAACCAATACATGTAATTTTGAAAGACATTGCCAAAGT